AGGCGGCGACAGGGCGGTGACGGCGAGCACGGAACCGCCATACCGACATTCATGGCCAGGCGACAGGCGGCGACGAGGCGGTGACAGAACTGCGACTGCGAACACGAAACCGCCAGACCGCAATTCAGGGCCAGTTGTGTAGAAGCGGAGTAAGAGCCCCTAAGTGCAAACACTGCTGGGGAACGATGTATGAAAGAACCTTGGGTTCTGGGAGCCGTTCTTGGCCAAACAGAAATGACTCCATAGGAAAATTGTCCCCAGATATCTTTACCGTCTGAGCTCCATACGGGGCCGAATGTGGTTCTCAAAGCGTACGCAACCTTCTGGTTCGTTAGTTCGTCACCGCATTGCGCTTGTCACCTTCATTGTGACTGCGACCGTCGGTAGCAGACACTCTCCTGCCAGCTGGTCTGACACCTCGATGCCCACCTCACGTATGCGCTTACGTTTGTCTTGCTGTCGTGCGATGTATTGCTGGGTAGTCTCGTTATTAGTCCGCACGGGAAACTCACATCGCTGGGGTAATTTCAAGTCGCCATCGTAATGGTAACTAGCGTCTAGCAGTTTCGCATTTGCGTCGAACCCGTTGCCTTTCTCCAGTTCGTCTTGGTCGATCATCTCCGCGATGTACCATTGCGTTCCCTGCAGCTGCGAGAATATCAGGTAGGTCCTTTCCGTTACTGGGAGCCTGGATCTAGATTTGCATGATCTCTCGGACACTTCCAGTCCGCGTCGGAACCCTTGGTAGTTCGACTCGTTGATGCTGTCGCGGCTGGGACCAATCTGTGCAAGACCTCCATCCAGCCCTCGCTCCAGGATTACGTATCTCTGGGTCGCTCGACACTGTCCTCCTCACCTGCGGCCTCGTCTGGGGGACTCCTCCAAGCTCCCCCGCTCCGTGGGTCTGGCCAACTCTGCCGTCGCAGCCTATGCCTGGGGGTACTGGCGAGGCTTGCATTCTCGAGGTGGACGGGGACGATGGGTTGCCTGTGCGTTTCAGGGCTGGACCGCAACGGTGTTCAGGTCGTCCCGTGGGCCGTTTTGTTTTCGTTTTGTCTTGCATTCAAGGCGAAGCGACGACCAAACAAGGAATAACGAACAACACAACGAACACGAGAAACACCGTTTAGGCTCAGCCCTGCTGCCTTTCCCTTTTCCTCACGTTCCTCTTCCTCCGCCGCCGGGTGGATCTCATGGCGCTGGTCCCACTGTGCGCAGTGGAGCGACCAGGGACTGCCCGAATACCAATGCTAGTCTCACTCTCTCAGGCGGAGATAGGTCGACATTCTCGGGGTCCTCAAAATCGATGTGCAGAGCAAGAGAAAATCGCACAATAAAGAGTCTCCCCATGATGCTGTGATAAGGTATTGTGTATATCAGGCGCAGTGGGGGGAGTCGAGACCCCTACAGGACCCGGATACTTTTTCCTGTAGCTCAGGGCGACCTGTTCGGGATCAGACGGCAGGGAGAGCGGCGAAAGAGATCGGCAACTGTCAAGTACAATCATCAGGGGAGGGGGGAGGGAGCTCTTCGCATCGTCCGCCGCAATCGAGCTGCCCACAGCTCAATCAGGACCTCCCACCGTAAAAGGATCGACCGGACTCTCCACGTGGCTTGTGGGACGCGTGGGCCGCGGAGCGGCCTAGCCCCGAAGCGCTGGTCAGAATTTACCCTGGGAGAAGGCCGGAGGAAGGAGGAGGAGGAGGAGGCGGGAGGAGGAGGAGGAGGCAGGGAGGAGGAGGTGGAGGAGGAGGAGGATGAAGAGGAGGAGGAGGGAGGAGGAGGAGGAGGGAGGAGGAGGAGGAGGAGGAGGAGGAGGAGGAGGAGGAGGAGGAGGAGGAGGATCGGTTTCTGGCTCGTTTCGGCCCATCTCGAGGCCTCCGAGGGCCGAGGGCCTCGAGGGGGCAAGCACGCTCGGAGGGCCCCTTGGGGCCAATGGAGCACTTGAGCGCGATGAAGCTGGCCCGGCGCAGGTTCCCAAGCTCAGAAATCCTGCTTTCTACCTTGTCAGAATTTGATAGACTTCCTACCCTGACACGTCGATTAAGGAATTGGCCGTTTTCGGTTCGCGAGAGGGCGTCGCCGCCGTCATTTTTGCGGGTCCAGGTCCGTCAGTTTCGGTCCTAGGCCGTTTTCACTAAGGGAAGGTTTACCAAAAGGAGATTTGCCCACTGCCGACCTTGGCGCTGACAGGCTTCGGCATCGTGCAGTAAAGGGAAGGGCCAATTGCGCAAATCATGCAGCGACTTCCAGAGTTTTTGACGCAGTAGTTGTGCTTTCGCCGTTCGCGCAACCAGTATACCAACACCACTATCTGACAAGTCACGTTCGGTCACATGTGACATTGTTGACAGATCGTGCGATTCGCGCGAAGCTGTCTTGGCAAGTTCTCGTGGGTGACGCATGCAGCATGCACAGAGGGCAGTTCATATGGTATGTTTTGGCGCGTCGTCCAAAAGGTGTCTGCAGCAAATACCGCCACCGCGCCAACGCAGCAGAGGAGCAGGAAGGAGGTTGTGTTTACAGTCAACCCGCACGGTGAGGATGGGCGACTTTCCAACGTTACCCTTGCATCCTTTCTCTTCGGCCCTATCCGTGGCCGCTCTCGCTGGCCGCGCCCCGCTCGCAGAGTCTCGACATGGCCTTCCAAGGCCCCTGTATCCTTATCGTGCGTCCTTGTTATACGGGTTGACTGTCAGATACGGTCCAGTCTGGTGCCTTGCTTGAGCTGGCGCAGGTCTTGAACACCGCCGCCTTGTCCACAGCCTCTGTCGCGATTTTTGTTTCTCCTTCGTCCGCCTCGTCGGGGGCCCGTCGTGGGCCAAGCGGGGGTCTCGGGGTCATCTTGGGCGCGATGAATCCACGGAGCTCTCCCGAAGAGGTTCGATGGAATGATCCAGGAGACGTCTGCGCATGTCTTCGGGGCGTCTTGGAACCCTCCTGGGTTACTTCAGGTCCTCGGCCAGTCTTGGGGCTGTCTTGGGGCGCCGTCGGGACCGCCTTCTGGGCTCCTGGGGCCTTCGCAGCAGTAGCCGACGTCGATTTGAGGGCGGAATGCATCGGACGGCTCCTTCACGTTCGTTTCGACTCTTGCGGCCTCGCCGGAGGCCCGTGTGGGTGCCTCGCTGATGCTTCTTCGGGGCTTCCTTGTAGCCTCTTCGGGACACACCTTGTGGGGGTGGTGGCTGACGCATGCGGGCGGTGCCACTGGGGCCTTCGGTGGAGCTCCCCATGGGACCACGAAGCGTTGTTTCTGGGGGGTGGCTGACGCATGCGGGCGGTGCAAATGGGGCCTTCGGTGAAGCTCCCTGTGGGGCCACGAAACGCTAGACTGGGTGGTGGCTGACGCATGCGGGCGTCCCCACTGGGGCCTTGGGTTGAGCCCCATATGGGGCCACGAAACGCTGTGCTGGGTGGTGGCTGACGCATGCGGGCGATGCCAGTGGGGCCGTCGGTGGAGCTCCCCATGGGACCACGAAACGCTATACTGGGTGGTGGCTGACGCATGCGGGCGTCCCCACTTGGGCCTTCGGTGGAGCTCCCCATGGGACCACATGGGGCGGTGCCACTGGGGCCTTCGTTGGAGCTTCCTGTGGGGCCACGAAACGCTATATTGGGTGGTTGCTGACGCATGCGGGCGGTCCCACTGGGACCTTCGGTGAAACCTCCTATGGGGCCACGAAACGCTGTACTGGGTGGTGGCTGACGCATGTGGGCGGTGCCAGTGGGGCCTTCGGTGGAGCCCCCATATGGGGCCACGAAGCGCTGTGCTGGGTGGTGTCTGACGCATGCGGGCGGTGCCACTGGGGCCGAGCTCCCTGTGGGGCCACGAAACGCTGTACTGGGTGGTGGCTGACGCATGCGGGCGATGCCATTGGGACCTTCGGTGGAACTCCCTATGGGACCACGAAGCGCTAGACTGGGTGGTGGCTGACGCATGCGGGCGTCCCCACTGGGGCCTTGGGTTGAGCTCCCCATGTGGCCACGAAGCGCTGTACTGGGTGGTGGTTGACGCATGCGGGCGATGCCAGTGGGGCCGTCGGTGGTGCCCCCTTATGAGGCCAGGACACGCTGTACTGGTTGGTGGCTGACGCACGCGGGCGGTGCCACTGGGGCCTTCCGTGGAGCTCCCTGTGGGGCCACGAAACGATGTACTGAGTGGGTGAAACGCAGGGAGGAGGGAGAAGGGGGAGGAGGAGGGAGGAGGGAGGAAGGAGGCGGGAGGAGATCGCGGGGACCGTCTCTTCAAAATGAGGACCCAGCACCACAGGATGGTTGGGAACAATGGACGTCCTGGGGTCTCAGGGTTGAGTTTCTTGTGGAAGGTTTCTTGTGGTCAGGCCCCTCCTGTATTTCCTCTTTGCGATCTATTTTCTTTTTCGCTTCCTGGGTCCCGTTGGGGGCCTCTCCAGGCGTCTCTGGGAGGCCTCTCGCAGCATCTTGAGAAGCCATTGGCGCTTTTTTGTTGGGGGGCCTTCGGTTGCTCTGGACCGTCTGGAAGTCTCGGCCTCGGCGCGTCCTTTCGCTGTCCTTGAGCCGTCCGGGAGGCAGAACAGCGCGCCGGAGAGCAACCGTGGTGGGGCACACGGGGGGCTGTATTTGGAGCTTGCGCTCCCCAGGAGGGGGGGGTCAGCCCGAGAAGCACTGCAGTCAGCCTGCCAGACAACATAAAGAGCATTCTAGCACGCCGCACCGTGCCGAGGGCACGATGGCAGATAACACGTATACTTCAATGTAGAGTCGAATGTTGCAGACATAGCGAACACAAGCATATATATATACACATATATATATATACATGTGTATATATATATATATTTATATACATACATGCTGCACATACAAACTAGCATCGTTGGACATTACCTGGCGTAGTCCATATCTGTGCGGTGACTGCGACAGCTCCGTCGACGTGTGCTCCCACCAGAGGCTGAGCATACACTCGTGGGGCGAGGCAGGCACCTCGGATAGAGTGGCATGCAAGGGCGGCGGGTCTCCGCAGTCATCGCTGGTCCGAGATCGTTTCAGGAGGGCCGGGGTCCATCATTGAGCTTTGGCTCAGACATGGCTGCCGACGGCGCGGATAGCTTCCCTGGGGCGACGGAGTTGGAGATTGCTCGCTACCGCCGAGCTCGGCCCGACTCTTTGGAGGAGGCCTCCCAGTTGTATCCAGCTGCCTGCGGCAAGTTCAGCATCCGTGCCAGCGCATTCTGTGTGGCGGCCCTTGGAGCACCGCCCAGACGGCCGCAACATGCAGCACCTCTCGGCTCAATTCCGTGAGATGCTCTCACGGGGGCTCTTTGCCTGGGCTGTCCTGGGCTCAAGTGGGGCCGTTTTTGGGGTCATTCTGGACTGCCGGTGGGCCGTCTTGGGGCTCTCTTGGGCCGTCAGCTTGGGCTGTGCTGGGCCCCTCGTGGGCATGTTGTGGCCCGCCTGGGGCTGCCCTGGACCGCCTAGGGGCTTCTTGGGCCCTCCTTGGATTGTGTGGGCTTCTCTTTGGGTGCTCCAGTGCCCTCGTGGAGCCATCTTGAGCTAAGAGCCCCGAGAACCCCAGATGCGCAGTCGAACCAAAGGGGAGTCCGCAAATAGGGCGTCCGCAGGTTCTGAGCCGCTTGGACCGTCCTGTAACTCGTCTGGGCTCTCTCTGGGCGGCGTGCCGGAAGCCTCCTGGGCGCCAGGCTGTTGGGGTGCCTTTGGGAGCAAGGCTGGGCCATCCTGGCAGTCTTAGCTGCTTCAGCGCACCGCCCAGCGAGTCTCGGAGGGCCCTAGACGGGACCCCCGGGAGGCGGCGGAGCGGCCTGGGGGCTGGGGGGGGGAGGCGGCGGAGCGGCCAGGGTGCCTATGGGGGAGGGGGGGGGCGGCGACACGGGGCCCCGCTGCGTGATGAGACGGCGAGGGCCGGGGGAAGGCCTGCGGTCGAGGCGGAGGGATTGGTTGGTCGGCCCTGCCACACTAAGGGCACCCTCGTGTCCTGTGTCTCGCGGACCCTGCCCTCTGCACTCCTGTGGCCGTGTGGCCCTCGGAAGGGTCTCGTGCCCCCTCGCGCGTCCTTCTCCTTCTCCTCCTCCTCCTCCTCCTCCTCCTCCTCCTCTCCTCCTCCTCCTCCTCCCTCTCACCCTCCTCCCCTTCTTCCTCCCCCCTCCTCCCCCTCCTCCTCCTCCTCTTTCTCCTCCTCTCCTCCTCCTTCTTCTCCTCCTCCTCCTCCTCCTCCTCCTCCTCCTCCTCCTCCTCCTCCTCCTCCTCCTCCTCCTCCACGTCACCCTGCCAGACAGCACTTGGCATTCTGCCGCCCCTCGGCGTGCCAGGGGGGCACTGTGGCGGGTAAGAACGAGCTGGCGTGGAGGAGCGCGGACGGCTCGCCCGAGAACCTCGCGGCTGCAGCGGCATCAGTCCATCCTCAGTTTGTCCGGGCACACGGCACCGCTCTAGATGGGTCCAAGATAATTCTCGTGCAGGGCGGCAGGTACGACAGCAGCATCGACGTAGACAAGTACGTTCTCACTTGCCCCCACGTGCTCGACCAGATTGTGCGGCCAGACTCGGACGACCTCGTCACTCTGCTGATCGACGTGCGGCCCCACACGGGCTGGCCCAACCCGCCTGCGCCCACAATGTTCCCGTTCTTCAAGAAGGCGGCAGCGCTGAGCAACAGCTGATGGGCCTGTGTTCCACCACCACCACCGCCACGATAAGTAGGAGGGGGAGGGGGTCCTCCTCCTCCTCCTCCTCCTCCTCCTCCTCCTCCTCTTCCTCCTCCTCCTCCTCCTCCCTACCCCCTCCTACTGATGGTGGTGGTGGTGGTGGAAAACAGGCCCATCAACAGCCGCCCAGCTCATTCTGGCCAAATCAAACGGGTCATCGTCTACCCCCTGCCCGGCATTTTTAGGTACATTTGGACCGTTGCGAGCGCCCTCGTGGATAAGTCCATCAGGGACAAGTTCGTGATCATCAGTGGTGCCGCTGGCATCGGAGCGGAGTGCCCCCTCGAGCTGGCGCAGTACGTGTCGTTCGAGGACCCACGCAATAGTTATTGAACACGGTTTTCATCGTTTCTTGGAATCTGGGCGCTGATCGACACAGTCGTCGATTGCGAAGGCCTTGTGGCAGGTGCCGTCCACCCTGAAGGGGGACGACGACGAAGACAGCGACGATGAACATATTCAAAACGTGAAGGACTGGGAGGGAGGAGGAGAGGGGCACGGAGGAGGGGAAGGGGGAAGGAGAAACGCCAGGAGGAGGGAAGATATTCAGGAGGAGGAGGAGGAGGAGGAGGAGGAGGAGGAGGAGGAGGAGGAGGGAGGAGAAGCTGCGTGGGGTGGCGGAGGTCTGGGTGCTGATCGACCCGTTCGCCGATGCTCGCAGCCGCCAGGGGGCCGCCGCGGCCGGCCGAATTTCGGGGGCGGAGGCGCTGCGGGCTCGGCCGGGCGCGCGGCCCTGCGGGGGCCCCGCGCCCTCGGGCGCCCCGCTTTCGCTTCGGCGGACAGCGCCCGTGCCCAGAGGGCATTCGCGCGCGCCGTTCTGGGACGTCCCCAGACATGGGGCGCCTCGAAAAAATCGAGGCGGAGGTTTTTCCAGGTTTTCGGCCTCTCGGGGCCCTCGCCGGGCCTCGGGACCGTCAAATTATCCCGGCAAAGCAACCAAACAGCGATGTGTAGGAGCATATCTGGAAGCATTCCCCTTAAGATTCAGATGAGAATCCAGTTGTAGAATTCTGCTGTTCTCGCAGTCGTAGTCGCATTCGCGATGACAGTCGCAGTGGCAACGGCAGCCGCAGTCACAGCCTCAGCCTCAGCCTGCCTCAGCCTCAGCCTCAGCCTGCCTCAGCCTCAGCCTCAGCCTGCTTCAGCCTCAGCATCAGTCTGCCTTCAGCCTCGGCCTCAGCCTCAGGCTGCCTCAGCCTCAGCCTGCATCAGCCTCAGCCTCAGCCTCAGCCTGCCTCAGCATCAGCCTGCCTCAGCCTAGCCTCAGCCTGCTTCTGCCTCAGCCTCAGCCTGCTTCAGCCTCAGCCTCAGTCTGCCTCAGCCTCGGCCTCAGCCTCAGCCTGCCTCAGCCTCAGCCTGCTCAGCCTCAGCCTCAGCCTCAGGCCTACCTCAGCCTCAGCCTCGGCCTCAGCCTGCCTCAGCCTCAGCCTCAGCCTGCCTTCAGCCTCAGCCTCAGTCTGCTTCAGCCTCAGCCCCAGTCTGCCTTCAGCCTCGGCCTCAGCCTCAGCCTGCCTCAGCCTGCATCTCAGCCTGCCTCAGCCTCAGCCAGCCTGCCTCAGCCTCGCCTCCTCAGCCCTCAGCCTCAGCCCGCCTCAGCCTCAGCCTCAGCCTCAGCCTGCCTCCTCAGCCAGCCTCAGCCTCAGCCCTGCCTTCAGCCTCGGCCTCAGCCTCAGCCTCGGCCTCAGCCTCATCTGCCTCAGCCTGCCTCAGCCTCCAGCCTCAGCCTCAGCCTCAAGCCTCAGCTCAGCCTCCTGCCTCAGCCTCAGCCATCAGCCTCTGCCTCTGCTTCAGCCTCAGCCTCAGCCTGCCAGTCAGGCCTCGGCCTCAGCCTCAGCCTGCCTCAGCCTCAGCCTGCATCAGCCTCAGCCTCAGCCTCAGCCTCAGCCTGCCTCAGCCATCAGCCTGCCTCAGCCTCAGCCTCAGCCTGCCTCAGCCTCAGCCTCAGCCTGCTTCAGCCTCAGCCTCAGTCTGCCTTCAGCCTCGGCCTCAGCCTCAGCCTGCCTCAGCCTCAGCCTGCATCAGCCTCAGCCTCAGCCTCAGCCTGCCTCAGCATCAGCCTGCCTCAGCCTCAGCCTCAGCCTGCCTCAGCCTCAGCCTGCTTCAGCCTCAGCCTCAGTCTGCCTTCGGCCTCGGCCTCAGCCTCAGCCTGCCTCAGCCTCAGCCTGCATCAGCCTCAGCCTCAGCCTCAGCCTGCCTCAGCCTCAGCCTGTCTCAGCCTCAGCCTCAGCCAGCCTCAGCCTCAGCCTCAGCCTGCTTCAGCCTCGGCCTCAGTCTGCCTTCAGCCTCAGCTTCAGCCTCAGCCTGCCTCAGCCTCAGCCTCAGCCTCAGCCTGCTTCAGCCTCAGCCTCGGTCTGCCTTCAGCCTCGGCCTCAGCCTCAGCCTGCCTCAGCCTCAGCGTGCATCAGTCTCAGCCTCAGCCTCAGCCTGCCTCAGCCTCAGCCTCAGCCTGTCTCAGCCTCAGCCAGCCTCAGCCTCAGCCTCAGCCTGCTTCAGCCTCAGCCTCAGTCTGCCTTCAGCCTCGGCCTCTGCCTCAGCCTGCCTCAGCCTCAGCATCAGCCTGCCTCATCATTCAAAATGTGGCCCGGGAGTGGAGTTCTGGGAACTCGAAGAACACGAAGTGGCTTACAGTTGGCTCCAGGCATTCAAAATCATGCCCAGGAATGGAGTTCTGAGAATTCGAAGACCACGAAGTGGCCTACAGTTGGCTCCGGGCATTCGAAATCATGCCCAGGAATGGAGTTCTGGGAACTCGAAGACCACGAAGTGGCCTACAGTTCGCTCCGGGCATTCAATATCATGCCCGGGAATGGAGTTCTGGGAACTCGAAGAACACGAAGTGGCCTACAGTTGGCTCCGGGCATTCAAAATCATACCCAGGAATGGAGTTCTGGGAACTCGAAGACCACGAAGTGTGTTACTGTTGGCTAAAAAAGGAGTCCCTGGTTTTCCCCGGCATCCCCCCGGATCCTGCCCAGACCTCCCTGGGGAATCAGGATGCTCTCTTTTGACCCCACTAGAAGCCTATCAGTTTTCGCTGTTAAGTAAAAACGACTCGGGATGGAAAACCGTTCCTGGGGAAGTGGTCGGGAGGTCGGGGGGCCGCGTCTCGAAAAAATCGAGACGTCAGATGTCTGGGTCTTACTCCAGGTGATCGCTTTTTCTTTCGGAGGAGGAGAAGGTACCAATACATCGCTACCCTCTGCCCGTGTTCCTCTGTTTGGGCCTCCCTGGCGGCTCTCCTCGCCACTGCTGGATTCGCCTCGAAGTCCTGGTCAGAGCGCACCCAGGGAGAGGTCCGG